GCGCGCTGAACAACAGAACTCCGCTGTTTCAGTGATGACTCATCTGAACGCCTCTGATTGGACATTGCTTTCATAAGCTCAGCATAATCGTGATTGGTTAGAATGCGCAATACTGTAAAAACGCTGAAAAAGAAATATAATGCAACAAATAAGCCCTAATATTAATTAGATAGTATTACTAGCCTGATAATAATAATAATAATAATAATCATCATCTTGCTATCGTCAAAGGCATCAGCCACAGGCGATATCTCTGTCTATCGTCGATACACAATACTATCGTCTATCAGCACAACCCTAGGATACAACCTTTCCACTTATTCCTCAGAAGCCCAGTTACACTATCCCAGCCTCAATTGACTGGCAGACATGACGTTGTGTCTGGGAGTGGCTCCCTCCTCTTGATATAAAAGGAGCGACGCAACGTCATTACGACATTCAAAACAAGCACAACTCTTCCTCGCTTTGCACAGCAAGGAGGGTGTTCTGGTGAGACACCTCACTTAATGCTATCAGAGAACCAGGGTTACGCAAGTAACCTATCGTTCTGTTTCAAGCATACGTTTCGGTGTCTCACTATGGGATATCCTAACTCACATATTGCCAGACAGACTGTCTCGAAGTCTCCTGCCAACCAAAGATAACTATAAAAGGGCTGGCACGTACGCGTAAGCACGCCCTGGGCATAGCGCATTCAACCTTTGCTGTTCTGCTGAAGTAAAGGGTGGTGAATAAAATGCTCTTAACTCAAGAGGAATAATAGAATTAACCACTTTAGGCATAAATGCAGGGTTAGGTTTCAAAAGTACCCCTGCGTCCCCTGACATGAACTGCATACACGCTGAGTGCACCGAAAGTGTAGCATTGTCCATTCTCACAAGAACATGATGCCCTTTCAGAAAAGGAAGAATTCAAAATGAACCACTGGAACCTAGATGAGGGTGAAAAATGCATGTGACAGCAGATCTCTGCTCAATGGCATGGACCATGGCTCTGAGTATAGCATATGAAGTCCGATTGTCCCTCTTCCTCAAAATCGAGTGCGTCCTCCTCATCCGTGCTGAGCACGCTGGGCAGAGTGGTGTAGGCATCCGGCTGATCACCCCACAATAGAGTTGCCATGGTGGGCAGCTCTACAGGAATGGATACATGTGGAGTGACAGCAGGAGTGGGGCTAGCAGACATGAGGTGATCCTGGGCCGACAGGTTAACTTGGCGTGCTAGCCTCTTCATGGTGAAACGCATGCAGTGCTCACAGGTGCCGGAACTTTCAGTCGCCAGTTGGGCATGTTTCAGCCCAAGACATGCAGAGCAGACCTGGTGTGTGTCTTTACATAAGATCTTATTCACTCACGATAACCTCTGTGAAGAGTCTCCCTCACTAGCTGAGATAGTCTGCATTGCTGCAGCCATTCTGAGTAATCCTACAATAAGATGGAGTGCTGATTGAAGGAGTCAGGCGAAAGCGGCGTGGTGACCATCAATTCATCATTTGCTTATTACACACACAGGGATGTGCAGCAGCACACAAACATTTTTAAAAATGAAAAATTAAAGGATTGAAAGGTAAAATATTATTATTGTGTTCATAAATATAAAAATGCGTACATGTCATAATGGATAGTCTTTGCATGTATCAGATTTACGCGCACGAGCAGATCCGTTCCCTCACTAGAGAAGCGTTCGGTTTTTCCACTTGCAAATTCCGCCGTGTAAATAGCAAATCCACCATGGCATGAGCGCAGCTGGCTTTTAAATGGAATGGGAGATGAGACTCTGATTGGTTTATGGCACGTTACGCCCAAAACACATCCATTACTCATTAAGAGAATAGGGACAACCCTTCAAGACCATGCCGGGCACGCAGACCATTTTTCCCGTCCTTAAACTAGCAAAAGTGGATTCGGACACGCCCTAAGCGCAATTGCGCCGTATGCTTTAGACCAGTGATTGGCAAACTTGGCCCTTCGAGGCCACTTTCCTGCAAAGATTTGATCCAACCCTGATAAAACTCACCTGCCTGTAGCCTTCTAGTAGTCTTGAAGACAATGATTAGCTGGTTCAGGTGTGTTTGATTAGGGTTGGAGCTAAAATTGCTATTTTGAGGGAGATTAAATACACTGCGCCATTGACCATCAAAAACCTGGTCTAAAGTCTGGCGCAATATATATATATTTTGTTTTGTTATTTAAAGAGCTCGTTAGTAACATGCGAATGTTACAACGCGCGTACACTTTGCTTATTACACACACAGGGATGTGCAGCAGCACACAAACATTTTTAAAAATGAAAAATTAAAGGATTGAAAGGTAAAATATTATTATTGTGTTCATAATTATAAAAATGCCTACATGTCATAATGGATAGTCTTTGCATGTATCAGATTTACGCGCACGAGCAGATCCGTTCCCTCACTAGAGAAGCGTTCGGTTTTTCCACTTGCAAATTCCGCCGTGTAAATAGCAAATCCACCATGGCATGAGCGCAGCTGGCTTTTAAATGGAATGGGAGATGAGACTCTGATTGGTTTATGGCACGTTACGCCCAAAACACACCCATTACTCATTAAGAGAATAGGGACAACCCTTTAAGACCATGCCGGGCAGCCCAAAACACATCCATTACTCATTAAGAGAATAGGGACAACCCTTCAAGACCATGCCGGGCGCGCAGACCATTTTTCCCGTCCTTAAACTAGCAAAAGTGGATTCGGACACGCCCTAAGCGCAATTGCGCCGTATGCTTTAGACCAGTGATTGGCAAACTTGGCCCTTCGAGGCCACTTTCCTGCAAAGATTTGATCCAACCCTGATAAAACTCACCTGCCTGTAGCCTTCTAGTAGTCTTGAAGACAATGATTAGCTGGTTCAGGTGTGTTTGATTAGGGTTGGAGCTAAACTCAGAAGGAAAGTGGCCTGGAAGGGCCAAGTTTGCCCACCCCTGCTTTAGACCATGTGCTTAGATCATTAAAATAGGGCCCATTGTCTTGTCTTCCAGCCAACTGGGGCTGGCGTAGTGTAATTGGGCTTCTGAGGAATACGTGGAAGGGGCATATCCCATAGTGAGACACTGAAATGTAGGCCTATGCTTGAAAGAGAACCCTCTCGTGTAAAAAATGTAAAAGTGGCAGAAATGTTTATCGCGAGATCTGGATCTGATCTCTACTAACTTTTAAGTCTCGCGTTGCCAGTAGTCATGTCTCAGTAGGGCTACAGTTGCCATCTAGCGGTTGAGAATTATAATTGCATTTTTATTTAACTTAAAATGAAAGACAGTCAGATAAAATCGTAGAATGTGTATTAATGTTGTGAGACAGCAAAAACAAAACAAAAAAAAAGTTAATTCAAATGTTTCCTTGCCAAGTTTACTTGCATTTGATGATATGCTGTCATGCATCCCACAAGCTGTGTGGGCGAAAATTACATGTAAACAATTTTAAGACTATTTTGGCTATACTTATTGCATGTCTGATATAGCCAAGCCGTTAAAATTAAACCACTGGTTGCGTCAATTTCGCGGGGTGGGCTTAAAGCAGATTACACATAGTCCATCCAATTCAGAGCTAAATCGTGGCTACAGATAGACCATGTCCTGAAATGACACTTACATCTCGTAGATATTATTGACATTGTGAACATGATGGGATATCAACCATCTCATACACTGCCTGGCCAAAAACTACAATGAATCAGTTTTGACTATAAGTGGACTAGAAATAGCCGGTCTGACTACGAGCTAAATCGTGGCTAAGCATAAAACATCACAGAAATGAAACCAAACACTTTGTAATCACTGTTGACTTTGCTTACATGATGAAATATCATACATATTGCAATTTATTTTGGCAAAAATGACATGTAACCAAATTCAAAGTTATTTTGGCTAGAAGTGGGTTACTCATAGCCGGACTATATCAGGTCTATAGTTAACAGAGACGGTGAAATGTTGGCTATTGCTTGCTGGGTAGTAATGTCTGTCTATCTGTTGCACAGACTGACTTGTAGCATCCAGTGGGACTGATTTCTGAGCCAAGGGTGAGTTCCTGTGGCACTGCAGCATCATGGGGGAGTTGTTCCGCAGTGAGGAGATGACTCTGGCCCAGCTCTTTCTTCAGTCTGAAGCGGCCTACTGCTGCGTCAGTGAACTGGGAGAGCTGGGAATGGTCCAGTTCAGAGATGTAAGTAAATAGAGCTTGTTTTCTCTCTCTTCCTGCTGTATTATATGCTGATAATGAATTCAAACCTTTTTCTTTCAGCTCAACCCTGATGTAAACGTGTTTCAGAGGAAGTTTGTGAATGAAGTGAGACGTTGTGAGGAGATGGACAGGAAGCTCAGTGAGTGGATCAACACATGCACAAACACATACACCAAGACCAGTGACAGTCCTGACTGCTCAGAATGACTGACACATGCAGCTAGTTTTCTGATTGGCTAAAAATGATGGACAAAATCATGTGAAATCTTGAAAGCTAGAAAGTCATGTGAAAGCTAGAAATAACACATATTATTACTACATTAATTTGCGCTGCTTTTCGTAGATTGCATTGGTCATTATGGATAATTTGCTGTTTAGTAAATATGACCCTAAATATTAGATCAACTTAACCCAGAATGAGCTTTTGTTCCATCTAGTGAATTAGAGGTAAATAAAATCAAATGCACCATTTACCCCAATGCATTTTTTGCCCTGTTGTGCCGTTTTTTTAATGTATAATTGTTGTGGTGGTGAAAGGGTTCTCTATAGACCAATTTGGTGTTTGCAAACATTGATGATGTTTTTTTGTGGGCGGAGCCTCTCTGGTGGCAGAAAATTACAGTTTTAAAGTAGCAGTCTATGGAAGCCATGGAATAAAAGAATAAAAAAGGTAACTTTTTACTCGCAATTCCGAGATTATATCTCACAATTCTGATAAGAAAAATCAGCTCGTCATTCTCTCTTTTCCCCTCGGCTCAGAATCATGAGTTTATAATCCCACACATCTGGCTTTTTTTTTCACCTCAGAATAGACAAACTTGCAATTGTTAAGTTAAATTGAGTTATAAAGTCCGAACTAGGAGATTTAAACTTGCATGTGAGAAAAAAAGTCTGAATTGTGAGATAAAATAGATAAATGTTTAAATAGTTGGCTATTTCATACTGTAACTGCAGGGGAATAATTTTTTTCTCTTATTCCATGGATTTTACCCGTTTCCCGCCACTTGTTCCCAGTGTTTTTCTGCCACCACAATGCATGCGCAGCTGCATGTGATGTAACTGTGACGTCTACTCCAAATTGGTCTATAAAACGGTGGACAACTACCCATATCGCTCAGGCCGGAATCTGCGACTGAATAAGGCACAAAAACTCACCCTTCTCTGTGAGAAATAATCAAATAGAACATTATTAAATATCATTAGTAAATTGGTGCTGATGTCATGTTCTGCAGGGTTTGTAGAGAAGGAAATAAAGAAAGCCAACATTCCAACGATGGACACTGGTGAGAATCCTGAAGTCCCATTCCCACGAGACATGATTGACCTTGAGGTAATTTTACTCTCTCATGCTGCTTTAATAAGATATGAGCTTAATGGAATAATTCTGTCAAAATAAAAATGCTGACATTTGCTTACCCTCATGTGCTTCCAAACCCCCATTCTGTTATTTTTTGGAAGGCAAAATGTGACATTTTTAAATAATCTTCATGAAGCTGTGTTCCATATGACAGCTCATAGTGAACATGTCTGTCAAATTCCAAAACAGTGGTCTGTTTCCATTCAGACTTTTCAGCAATATTTAAACAATTAAACATAAAAGCACCTTTTATGCTCTTTTAAACTTTTCTTCCATTTAATATCTTCACTCATTGGCAAGGTGTCACAATTTTCTTGCCATTTTCTAAACCTTTGGGTATAATTTGATATCAGTGTTTTTATTTCTTTATATCTTTAATTTGTATTTACATCACTGATCACCAGGCAACCTTTGAGAAGCTGGAGAATGAGCTCAAAGAGATCAACACTAATCAAGAGGCCCTGAAGAAAAACTTTCTAGAGCTGACAGAACTCAAGCATATCCTCAGACGTACTCAGCAGTTCTTTGATGAGGTCTGGCTGTCCTCTCACAATATGATCACAAACTTAAGAGTAAAAAATAAATTAATTAATTAAAACAAGCAAAAACCACCAAGACATTTCAGGTGTTAATTAACCCTTTAATGTATGATGTCCGCTACAGTGTGAAAATCTTTCAAAGGCACTTTAATCCATTAACAATGTTATGTTACATGCAAACTACCTTTGGCCCTTACCCATAATTTGGACTCTCTTTAGATGGAGGATCCAAACCTTTTGGAAGAATCATCATCTCTGCTGGACCCCAGTGAGGCTGGGCGAGGTGCCCCACTGCGACTAGGGTGAGTTCTAAGTAGCTGATATGTAATTATTCTTGTAAACAGTCAGTAATAAAATAAAGATCAAAGAAATAAATTGCACAAGTAATGTAAAATATAACTAAAATATCAAATACATAAATTAATTGATTTAATTGCTTTTCCTGGAGATTATTGTAATTTTCATAATTGGTGCACTGAAATACTGAATTTGATACTTCCAGTTCTCTAGAAAGACTGACATTTTTATTTTAGTATTGATTAATAATATTTAGTGTGTTACTATTTATTTTAGCATTAATGGATTTTAAGAGTTTTTGAGGCAGAGATTTGTTCCCTTTCAGTTGGGATCTCGCTTAGAGAGACCAATCCACTTTGAGTGTAAACTAAACCAGCCAATGCACATTGGCATGCGATTATTGCATCCAGCTGTCGCTGATCACAGCGTGAGTATAAGTAGGCAGCTGGTGCAGCGCATATTCAGCTTTTCGCTTCGAAGCTGAGCGGTCTCATCGTTCTGCTTCTGATCTTCTGCTTCAGTGAAACTACGAGTTTGAGTACAAGCACGCTCTTAGGAAGCTCTCGTGCTGGTGGTACGGCGCTTCAGCGGCGGTGGTTCTTCCCGTGTCGAGTGGGTTGCACACATCAGGCTGCACTACCCCCTGTTTGTGTTGCAGGTGGCCATCTTCCCTGTGCGCTTCAGCACACTAAAAGAGCAGTTCTAAAAGAGCATTCACGGGTGGAACGTCTTTTTAAAGACGCGTCTTTTTAAAGATGCCCTTCCATCCGTGCGTTTCTGGATGCGGTCGTTACCTGGCGCCGGGTGATGGTCACGATCGCTGCCTCTCGTGTCTGGGAATTAAGCACGCTGAGGTGACTTTCATGGACGAGTCATGCTCCCATTGCGGGAAAATGACCGTCTCGGAGTTGTGGACCAGACTTAGTTTCCTGCAAAGGGGCGGGGTGCCCATGCCGCTGCCCAGATCTAGGGTTCCCCCTGGCGGCAGCCGGTGGGGCGCTACCTCTGGCAGCGTCCGGACTGGTCTTACGGTGACGGTGAGGAATTCCCCTCCGAGGAACCAATCTCCGAGGGCTCCTCCTTCCGCCGGCACCTTGATGGCAGCGCGGGGGTATACGGAAGTCCCTCCG